TTCTGGTGGCACAGCTCGTCAGCTGTGACACCCTCCCACGACTGCTACGGAACCCTCTCCCCATAAGCGCTACCAAGGCAAAGCTGACCCATCTGACAGAACTACAGAAACAGGCCACTGACGCATGGCGAACCTCACGGAGGGGTGTTGATAAACTCGGGGCTGTGAAGACAAAGATTAGATCCGACTAGAGTCGAAGCAAGATCTTCAGTCAGTAAGGAAAGACTTTATTGCAGTAACCAACTGTACCTAGAGTCGAAGCAAGACTACAAAGGATCAAGTAAGTAACTACAAGTTAGAGGTAGATATAACGAAGTACTCACTCTTCAGTCAGTAAGGAAAGACTGAAGAGGGAGGACGCAATCTGAAGTCCTTATATACTACAGAGAAGTGTCCATGACTAATCGAAGAGTGGTTAGTCACATGTACCATAGTGCGATGAATAATACGATGGTGAAAGAATTGCGATGTATCGCACCATAGGATGAGTAAGAGATGAGTAAGGCATAGACCTGTCTAGACCGTTCTGGAGTAGTACAGATTGTCCTAGACAGTACCAGAAGAGTCCGGAAGCATAGCTATAGTACACGAGCAGAGATTCCCAAATATGGTAACATACTACATAAGCGACTACAGCTAAGCGCTAGGAGACGCATAGCCTCGTGTAGTCCGGACCAGATAAGTCCAAGTTCAACATGCTACTTAAACGCTGCCTCTACCGGCGTTGCATAAGAGTTTATGAGGTGTCTGCTGACGAAGTTGGTTTCGAAAAGGTATCATGAGCCTATATAGACACTCTATTACAGATATGAGAGTGGGGAGACAACATTGAAGCGCACAAGAGTCACGAAGATACACCGATGCCTGAACCTCTTCCGGCGCTTGATGCGCTGGCAAGAGCCAGGAGGCAGACTGCCTGCTGCTCTGGCCGAGAATGTGTAACATCTTCCTATAAACCCACAAAACCTACTCTAAATGAGTCATATACTTTCATAAGTGATGTTGCAAGGCGGTGCGCAGATGCCTGAGCAAGAAACCTCATCGCCCATAGGGAGCTTCTAGTGATTTCCCTCGAAGGGCACAAGTCGGGAACCAGGAGTCCTACGCTCTCCACTCAATTTCGTGAGGTCTCGTACTCACTGCTATGGGGGTTATGGAAAGTTTATAGAACACAGGGGAGCAGAATCGCGAGTGCATGAATTGTTTGATTTTTTCGATTTTTCCGTGGTCGAAACTGCGTCGGAGTTGGTCGGGCATAAATTTCGCAACCAGCTGTACCTGAAGAGAATCGCGTGACTCGGATGTGCGCTTGGGGGTCGAGGAATGTACCGCAGGAGCAAAACCTCAGATAGCCCGACGAAATTATGCTCCCATAGTGCTGATATGCCTATTATTGAGTGGGGCTGGAACTGGAAAGACGAACTCGAAGCAAGAGAAAGAGCATCATACTCCAAGTCGACAGGGCGGTTGCATGTCCAGGCAGCGTTGTTATGACCGCGGTCATGACCGAAGCCATGACCAATTTTGACCAGCTTGACCGGTCATGATGATTAGTTAAAGGTCAACACGTGATCTAGGCGACCAAGCGCTTGTGTGGTCCGCAGCTTGAGCCCGAAGCGGACAATGTGCTCAAACATCGCGACGGGCACAGGGGAGCACCAGGTTTCTTCCGTGACGCACAACACGCCTGGCGGTGGAGACGGCTTGCGCTCGTAGATCGGGTGGGCGATATCGCTTGTGATACCACTTGGCACATTGCTCTTCCTCGCGAGCCAGACGACTTTGTTGTTAGGATGAGGTCGTGTTGTCATAGTGGGTGTTCAGTGTCTTGTATGTTCGACCACAAAGTCTACATACTCCCTCCCTTTGTCATTTCAGTCGTTACAATGGCCTCATACACTGTATCTCTTACACTTATTTCTGTCATTACTTAGCAATGAAATCATAGCTCCATGTTGCATACTCAACTGTTACTGCAAGAATACGCGTCTCATAGGATTTTGTTCTGACGAATCATATGGTCAAGACGTGGCCACAACAAAGGCACCTGGTCAAGTTCTATTCCCTATGTACTAATTTTTGATCTGGCATCCGTAGGCGACCATTCTGTCGGTTGGCAGCTCAAACATGGCAGAGTATGGGGTAGTAGCATGCTCAAAGTCAAGGATAGGAATGAATAACGGACAGTCTCATCAACTCGCGGCCTCAGCGCACTTAGCCTATCCGAGCCATAGCCCACCGTCAAAACGCTCCCTCGGACATGCCGGAGATCTCACGTGCTAACTTTTGACTGGTGGTCATGACCGGGTCACACAGTGACCGGTCATCCGTCGTCTAAAAGTCATGACCGTTGACTTGACCCGTAACAACGCTGTGTCCAGGCGGATCAGACCAGATACTGGCGCTAGGCAGAGACGGCGCGGGAAGTCGGCCCGTGGCGGGCCCATGAGCGAGCGCGATTCGAACACTGCGGCTCCGAGTCTCAACTTCACACTACTATCTTCCAGCTGCAAGTCTCAGGGTTTTGGATCCTCCAGCATGGTAGCACAATCAGCCTCGGATATATGAGTGAGTACGCTACAACCGTCTGCCATACATGCTCAAAGGGCTGACGTACAGGCTCTGCTCTATGGTAGTACTGGTAGCCAATGACCCCAAGTTACCACCCGAGCAGCCCCCAAATCAACTCCATGCTTGCTATGCGGGTACCTGACATCGCCCACGACGGAACGAGAGGCAAAATCAGACACGGAGGCGAGCCTGCGCTACATGGAGCTAGCATTGAGACGAGGGGATGTGACATGTCCGTAAGCACAACTCCTTTTCACGTGTTGAGCGTGCACGGTGTCCTGCTGTGTTGTCATGAGGTGATTCAAAATCTCGCTGCATGGACGTCGTGTGAGTTGTGAAGCTAGTGCCCTTTCTCGCTCTCCCCGTCCAAGTCCGAACGCCTCTTTGATTGCTATCTCCGTTGCTCCCACCCAGTCGTACTCATCCACACACCCGTCCCTAGACCACTGATTTATAAGTACAATTCCAAGAAGATCGATATCCTCGCGCCCTCCGCCACCGTCTCCGTCGCTCTATCCACCACGACCCTTCCTCCGCCCGCACTCTCCGTATCGGATGGAACGTCAAGTTCGCAAGACCGGCCGATAGCCCTATAAGTTGGGGAGGAAGGCGGGACGTTGAAGAGGAAGCTGTCTGAGGAAAGGCAGAGTGAGTGTTGCGTGCTGTGATCGTGTAGCGAGCGTGTCGCCGACGTCTGTTGTCCCTTCCCCTGTCGTTGCCCGCCTTGTCTTCGCCTATGTCCATGTTCGTGCCTGCCTGCGCTAATGTCAGAACATGACCCGCGGCGTCCGTTACACCCGGTGCTGGAGCAAGACGATCGACGTGCTCGAGGAGGCGACCGCGAAAGAGAACTAGGAAGTGAGGGGGGAAGTCCCCGCCCAGGCTGAAGCCCATTCTCGCGTAAGTCGCGCTCAAGGTGGTCATCCTCGAGGAATACCACAAGAACCTCTCCAGGCTGAGGCTGAGGCTGTTGGTCACGATGATGGTGCGTTGCCCCGTGCGCATAAGTTTGGAATGGAATATACTCACATTTCCATCGAAGGTCATCAAGCGGCAAGACCATATGCTATCTAACAGGCAGAATGCGCTCATCGGGGAGCTCCATGGTCTCGCTGAAGTTCGCACGCCCCTTCCGCACTCCCGTCACTCGCTCACCTTCGTTCTCTGACCTTCCCTCTTGCAGTAAGGCACCAAGAACGTGCGAAGATCGTCGTCTGCGGCGAAGGCTCCGACGGTGTCGGTTACTTCAGGAAGGCTCCTCAGCAGCGAGCGACGCGCTGGCGATGCCCATGATGCCCCGCACCCCTCTAGACCAAACTACTATCACGGCAGCGGACGATGGCGAGCACGAAGATGGCGCGGGGGGCTGTGGGAGGGACGGGACACACATCCGCCGGAGAAGCGGTACAGGTTGACAGACCAGATGATCACGATTATCTCGCAGTTGGTGTGTCTGAGCAACGAGTGTAGTCGGATAGAGAAGGAGAAGAAGTGAGTGCTCCGTTCTCAGATGGACAGCATCGCGTGACGGTTGTTGATCATCGGCGCGTGTAGCGCACTTTAGGGCTCGAACCAGATCATCAGCAACGAGGGTGTGCGGAAGAATCTGTTTCAGAAGGCATGCATCGTATCTCGGTTGTCGTCAGAGCCATATTGACTCCATCTCGTACCCGAGATCATTGCCGCTGTCCTCGGGACAGATTTCGCGTGAACTGAGCGTGATGAACAAACAAATACGAGGAGGCGATGGAGAACGACTGAACCTTCCATGCAGTCGTCGCTTGTATCTTCCATCGGACATTGTGGCGTCGCTTCTCTGTGCCACCGCCTCTGCTTGTGCGCGCTTGTTAGTGCGGTTTCCTCGGCACTTATTCTCCTCAGTGTTATTCGCAGGCGCACCCGGCTGTCTCGCCGCTGCTTTACCCGTGCGCTTGGTTACTGATGCTCTACCCTATCATACGTGTATGATAATGTACCTGTGCCTTCCTGACTCTGTATCTGTTTGTTTCATCCGTGTTATTGATACATTGTTTTACCTCAAATCTTCGGAACTCTCAGAAACAAGGGCCGCGTCTCAGCACTTCCTCAACACCCCTATGTATACATACTTGCCGTCATTCCTCGATCGCAGCTCTAGCAATGATCGTGTATGGCACACCCCTTCCCGTTGAGCAACTCTATCGCTGGTGAGGTCAGGGTCTTTCTTGCTAACATTGGCCCACGTTGACATTGCCTATCTTTTGTCTATTTACTCCTATTCCGTCCCAGTTCAACTTCCGCGGCAACACCCCGCAGACCCACATCAATGTAGCTCAAAATGTCCATCTCCCGGGTACACAATGATCACGATGTGAAGGGTTAGACCGATGCTGTCAAGTGCTGTCCAATGCTGTAAGCTTTCCGGAAGGGTCGAAGGGATGTCCATACACGACGTTGCTTTAACGCTAACCCGTCGCCCGTGGTGCCCGCCAGCTTCTTCGATATCAGACGATCGAGAGATGGAACCAGAGTGCAAAGCATTCGATAACAGTGTCGTCTGTGTTGCGGTGGAGGGCGTGTTCCTCGAGGCGACCAGAAATCCACATTACGTCTCCTCAATATAAGAAGAGACACCCCACAGAGTTCGCGGCGCCACTCTGACTCTCCATCGCAACCATGGCTTCCTCACAGACGGGACAGCTTGCCGCTGAGTATTCTAGCTTGTACGTGACCTGTCCTCTGTCTGGACCTGATACTGCGGGCACTGACGATGGATCTCCTGACCGCATAGCGTAACAGACAACTACTGCGGTGTTGCTGCAACAGGTACAGTCCCTATTGAGCGGGAGCATACCAATCGAATGCCCTTGAGAATCAACGCTAATCCATTCACCGATCTGTTCGGCAGTGGTATTCTTATACGACTCAATGATCACGACTGGTGAAGAAATCCGATGTTTCTGGGGACGGAAGATCACAGGAGCAGCCATCTTGTTCTGGCTCAACAAGTACATGACCGCGCTCTATTTGGTTTGGGACCTTGCAACAGCATTGAGCATATCCAACAAGGCACGTACTCCGCTCTTGCTAGGAATGATGAATCTACATATATCTTGACTTCACCAGAGGTAAAGCAATCCAATGGACTCTACACAGTACTGGAATCAATCGTGTCCATGCAGCTGTGCCATATCTACCAGGGGAAGTAATGCCATTCAATACTTGACGTACATAGTCCCCGCAGGTGGGCACCCCATATCCACTGATACCTTTGAACAAATCTGGATATTTTGACTTCCCAGCGTTCACAGCCATCCGTGTATATGCACTCAGGAGGAGCTTAACTCTGTGTGCTATCACTGCTGGCCTATCCTTGGCGCCTCTCGGAATTAACTTTGTGAGATTGGATCCCGACATGTTCATTGCTATCCTGTGGATACTGATTCATTAAAAGGCTAGCTTCAGGCTCGGACTGACCGGCGAGAACATCTTTCCCATTGGATGCACACCACTTGTCAATGTGTCCACTGGTCTCTCCCAAATGTGAGGCTCCCTAAGAGCACCGATTGAGACTCCACTGAAGCCCAACCTACCTATTCTAGATGTAAAGTACAATCCAAGTCTACCTGAACGCTCAATTTTACCAGCTTCTTTAGTCACGATCATCTCTCGGTCATGCGTCATTGCAGCAGATTGCCTCGCCATAGGTGTCACCTGGTTCACATTAGGTCTCCAGTATCCAGCTCACCGCGGAGGCATGCTTAAGGGCTCGATATCTAGAGTCTTGATAATGGATGGTGCGTACTGAGTAGTACTAGTGTCGGCCGAGGCGTAACATGCTTACAATATCATTCACGCAGGGACCTTCTATTTCTTGTGAGTGGGGTGGTTTTGCGGCATGTCGCATCTCACTCCTTCATCATTCAGCATCCTCGCTGTGCTTAATTCCCTACATCTTGCTTTCACGTTACTTTCGGTGAATTCACAATCTATAGTTGAACCAGCGCAACGTTTGACTGTGGGTCTCATAGATCTCTGTAGCCCCACTACAATCTGCAAGCGTATTGACTGAGTTCACAACCCCGTATGTGGGCCATTGCATCTGTGACTCGATCCCGTGTCTTCTAACTCGTCGCATGCACATTCAACCATGCAGGCTATCTGCCATCCTCGTGTCACGCTTCCTCCTCCACCTACAGTCAGCTAGCCTCCGGGCGGTTGGCTCCATACCATCCTCACAGATTTCGTCGCTGCACCTCAATCGCTCTCTAGTATTAGAACGGGTCGTTGGATCACTCGGAGCATCAATCACTGCTGAAGATTATTTGAAGGAGGACCATGGTGATGATGACAACGGGGAGAGAGTTGACGAGCCCACTCAGACATCTCGAGAGTAGACTGGCTCAATGGCTCATGGGGTTGAGGAAAGCGACAAGGACTGTAGAAGTGAGATGGATTGCGTACTGTCTGCTCGTTGACCTACAGATGGTATGTATACGCGCTTGATTTCTCAATCGTCCCAGGGTTATCTATATGTGTTGTGGTACTATGTCTATGTCGAGCGGGACGAGACCGTAGTTTGCCTTCGCAGCAATGAACAGCGGTATTTATTCATTTATATTAGGTTCTCTGGCTTGACCCGCGTCGCTGGATGGTTCTGAGAGAGGCAGACATATGTGTTTGTACATCGTATTGCGGCAGATCAGTCTGATCAGTGTTCAAGGAGCTCGTCATACAAAACCGCAACTAACAAGACTCATAAGCATAACAGATACTCTGACTGACATATTCTATCGCAAGCGCAAGGAAGATCGCGCAAAACCGGACGAAATAGGGCCAAAGCCATCCAACGTTCCGCCGTGCCACGACCAGGGAGACGGTCTTCGGGCGACGTCGGACAGCAACCGCTCCAGAGTAATGTCGCTCTATAACTTTAGTGTCGAGCGCATCTGCGTCAACGGTGCCGGGATGCAAGAACAAGCATATGCCACTCGTTTGGGGGAAGGGGAGGGTCTAGCACTATGACTAGTTTGTCTGCATGGACAAGATTGACAGCGGTCCACAGCAGTCCGCAGCGGGACAACCAAGCGAGACGATTGGTGCCCCAGGATTCTGCGACGGTGCTGGTAGTATTCAGCCTCATGCGCTGCAATCATGTCGATCATGCTCTTGACGACTGCCGAGGGGGAGAGATACACCCGCAGCTCTTCTCGCCTTCTGAAAGCGAGATAGCCTTCAGATCGATGTATCGTTGGCAGCTGGGTGTCCTGCTGGGCCTCGGAACCCACGCCGGAGACGTATGCATGACCCGACGCCGTTCGCGACCTGATGTCAGTGTGTCACGACAGTAGCTGACGCAGGGATGCGAGGCGAGCTTGCATTTGTGCGGTGAGCACGCGCCATGATCAAGATGTAGTTCAATTTGAATGTATACAAATTGGACAGGACGTAGCGCAATGGGGCTAACGGGAAAGAGCAAATGTCCCGGACGAGATGCGAGTGATGCGCCACGTCAGATTCCGAGCGCAGGTTCCTCAGGTGGGCATGGAAATTCCTGTATGTTCTCCTGGAAGTAAGAAAACGCAGCAGTGTGGAGAACTCGACGCCGACCACAACCTCGCGCAAGTGGCTTTCGCGACGACAGCTGCAACTGCAATGTGACACAGAGTTGCATCGGTGTGGAAAGCAAGCTGCCTGAGTATGGGATGTGCTTCGACTTGAAGATACTGAGGGGGCCAAAACCTGGCGCGATGGGGCCACGGACGAGAAGCTTGAGAGCGAAGAGATCTCACAAGAGACGAGATGCGAGTCATGCGCCATGTCGGATCCCCAGAGGAAGTTCTTCGGGTGAGCGTTCGAATGCGCTCTCCTGAAGGCAGGGAGAAACCGTAGAGGGGGCGAACGTCGGGAGGAAAAGCCGTTCCAGAAGATGCTAGCACAGCACCAGTGCCACGTCGCCTGAGGGGAAGATGCACTTCAGCCAGCCCGCTCCACCGCCGATAAAGCAATCGTGAGCGTGTCGTCGGCGTAAAGCGCACAAACGCCATGTTTGCTAGTGGCTGGGGTCGAGAACGTACCCACAGAGTGCAACACGAACATCCTCGCCGCTCTGCCCATGTCTCTACATCAATCAAGCACGGTATTCGCAACCACGTCTTGCTGACATCCAGAACGTAACGGCGTAATTGAGGAAGACGAATGTGCCGATGCACGAAATGCCGCTAAAATGTCGCTATGACTGTTGCTCGTGGCGGAGTGGGTGTGCGTCAGTGAGAAGTCCTGCTCGATGAAAACTTCAGTGGGCTATGTCACGGTCCACGGTAGGAACTAGATTCCGTGTGCGCGAGCATAATCATCACTTAAAAACGACGTCGTACCTGTGTTCGCCCTAGGAGGGCTTGCCCTGAGCAGCGGGGTAGAAGGCGGAAGAGCTGCTAAGGATTGTGGACGTATGCTACGCCGTTCGATGTCAGCCTGCATGAGAGGGTAGCCCAGTGTTCCATCCGTCAGCGCCAGCCACACAAGTAGCCAGTAAGAAGGATCGGGAAGGAAGGTTTATCAATCGCGTATCGCGCATCGCTACTGACCTGGTGATAATGGGACCACCCTAGACAGACCGATTGTATGTCGATTTGCGTTACCGGGAGCGCACTCAGGACGACGCTAAGACAGTCTCGCAGTGCTGACGTGCGCACTGGCGCGGTCCCAGAGTAGAAGAGATGAGAGCAGGGTGAAAGGAAGAGCTGAGATACCAGTGAGTCTCATCTAGCTGCTGCACCTAACCTGCGCTTGATGCTCGCGCAGAGACACGTGGCAGACCTATGCGCGCGGGAACCGGCCCGTGCCCCCGTGGCGGGCCCGATGGACCAGGACATGCGCGGCTCGATACGCCGCGGCTCGTTGCACACCACCATCCTCTAGCTACAGAGCTCAAGGCACCGCCCCCCCCCCCCCAAGCATGACAGCACAAACTCTGTGCGGATACTCGAGTGGGTGTTTCAAAGCCGTCTTTCTTCATGCTCAATGGCTGACGTGCAGAGCTCTGGTCTATAGTAGCACCCGTGCCTGCACGCGAATGACTCGGACCCCTGTTGATAGCTCAGTTTTGGAATGCTCAATTGAATCTCCTTGGGTGCGATCTCCAAATTGCGACCACGCTCCACATCGTTAGCATCACACTCCCTATCGACGGCCCCGCTGTCCGCGCAACTAAGGCTATCGATCTCCCATCGCTCTTCCCCGCGCCCGACTCTCCCGACTCTCCTCGATAGACGTTATGCCTTCGTGAAGCCTTGTCGTCAACTGCAGCGGAAGTATCAATGGACGCTGAGCTCAACCAGTCAGCATCTGCCGCCCTTCATCAGCCTTCCTCTTATCCCGACCTCCTTTTGCGCACTCAGTCCCTGGGTCCCTTCAGACAAACAGAAGCGAAGACTCTTGAATAGCCAGCGGACCTCCCCGAGCTTGGACTGCTTCTGGATTTATGCCGGTGCTGGACCTCGCTCGGCGCTTCACGAGCGACGAAAGCGGGGACAAGGGTGCACCTGCGCTCACTGGAGCTCACATCAAGGACGAGGGCTAGAGATAAATGACGGTGAGCACTTTCCTACAAAGTTTTCAGCATGCAAACCGTCGTGCTGCAAACGTCTGTCGCAGCGCAGCGCATGCCGCAGGTGGGCAGAGCGCACAGTGTTCACCCGCCTTGCGCGCGCCGTACCGACCTGCCCGGAATTCCCATCTACGCTCTCGATATGCGCTGCAGCCAGCATATATGCGGCGCGCAATTACCGTGAACGCCTTTCTCAGTCGATTCCGATGCTGACATGTATACTTTGGTAGTATAATCTCGGGATTCTATGCTCCCAAACGATCGAATGATTCATGGACGACTGCGAGTGCGCGCGAACATCCTCCCCACAGACAACACAGGGCGATCGCTATGTATGGACTGGATATGTGTCCCTTCTGAACGAGCATGTCCTCCACTCTTGCCCCCTGTGAGCCTCTTTTTTCACGCGCCAAGCGGGAGTCCGCATGCGCGTATGACACGCATATATGGGTGTTTGGGGATGGCCAGGTAGGGTCTCGCGCGACATGAAGCGCCGGTCAACGCCGCCCGTCGCCTGCGTCCGAGTCCAATTTATTCTGGCTCATGTTTCCGTCTGCGTATCTTGTACCTGTACCATCCTTAAGGTATAACATGCGAGACGGCCTTGCTTTCATTAGGATGGACATATGCGTGTCAAGACTACCAGTGCTGTGATGCATCGGACACCACAAGTCTACGTGTGCGGTTTGAGCAGTGTTCAAACAAGTGTCCCAACCACTAGCCACAATCGCAAAATCCTTCCGACTCAGATTCTATCTACGCTTGTGGGATCGTGTACAGACTGCTGTACTCGCCCATCCATCCGCCCGCAGACCTTCTAAAAGCAGCCCAAAGCGAAGAACCGTCTCCACCGCATCTTCGTGACGTTGTCCATCGCACTCTCCATCGCCGCCATCTCCCTTCCTCCGCGCTTCTCTGCCGCCGGGCTGTGCTGCCTCCGACCTTTTCTAAGTCCTGCTCCGGCGTCAGCGATGGCAATGGTGAAGTAAATATAGTAGCAGGATGCGATATCTGCCGATAGTCTGTTCCGATGGCCAGCACAGCGGAGAGTTTCAGAGGCGGTTCTCCGAAGGCATCGCGGCGGCGATTGCGAGGGTCTTGAAGAGTGGCGCGAGGCGCACGAAGACAACTAGGATCATAAGCATTCGGTGCTCTGATCATGCGCATAGCGTATCGCGGACGTCGGGCTCGTTCTCTACTGATGCAGGGATGCAAGACGGGCTTGCATTTGTGGGGTGAGCAGGCGTCTGGATCAGGATATGCTTCGATTTGAATGCATAGAGGTCTGCCAGGACATAGCGCTATAGACGTAGTGCAGAGAGGTCTCGGACGAGATGCAAGTCGAGCCCCACGTCAGATTCTGAGTGCATGTTCCCTCAGGCGAGCACGGCAATTCCTATATGTTCCCCTGAAGGCACGAAGAGGCAGCAGAGGGAGTCGTCGGGAGGTCGCGCCGTTGTAGCCTAGCCCGAGCTAGTACGGCGTAGAGACTACAACGAGGTACTATCCCTCCAGGGGTTTTGCGACGCCAGGAATGATGGCGCCTGCCTCTCCAGCAATAGTGACCTATGTATTCCACAAATTTCAGGCATTGCTAAGACTTACATCGATCATATGTCCTCCAAGTTTCGTAAAATTCTGTGGAGCTGAACGCGAGCTATGGGGATGCCATGTTCCGAGTACCTGCATGAAAGGGGTTTTGCAAAACCTGTAAGCGCCTGAAAGAAATGGCTTCCCTAGGATGTCTACCCATCCTCAGAGCTATCGGGGATAATTTCTGTATTGAAAATGCGCCCATACATTCCTTCGGGAAGATTTTTGAACTTTCTCAGTAAGAGACAAAGAAAGATCTGTATATCAAGCTGGGCGTTAACTCGCTTAAAGGTGTAACTAAATGTCTCCTGCTCGCAAAGGCGTCCTCCAGCCCATTTGGCTCCGAAAAGTTGACAGATGATATCAGAATGGGTGTAGCATTATGAGTCTGACATATCAGAGCGATGCATGTGGAAGGGAGGAAGGGCTCAGGGTTTTGCAAATCGCCCAGATTTTGCAAAACCCCTTGAGGCATCTGTAAAAACCACCTTTGCGAATTACACCTATTTAGTACAAATTAGCTCTTAATAGACACAGTAGTTGGATAGTGAAAAATAGTGCAAAATCGAGAGGTCCCCAAAAATAATTGCACTATTTTGCACTATTAATGCAAATTCGTGCAAAGTAGCACTATAGTAGACGGAAATAGTGCTATAGTAGACGTTGATCGTAGTGGATAGAGTGGGTCTATGATTTCTGACTGGTGTAGAGATGCTTTCTATGACCTCAAAACCATCTGTTTATAAGCCCCAGATGCATTTAAAGTGCTGGAAAAATATATGAAAAAAATGTGCTCAGCCAGTCTTGAACCTTGAACCTCACCTTTATATGACACCTGTACTGAGGTGGTGCTCTATGCCACTGCACCACCAGAGCTTATATAGTGCCTCCCCACAAGTATTATATATATCCATCACTGCTGGACTTGGACAAAGTGGTGACACCTCACCTTGAGTTTTACCTGCTGGAACTTGCATATGTGTAATGTCTAGGGCTATATATATATAATATGGAGTGTGCTATAGAGTATGCTTCATGATATAAATGCTATGCTGACAGCCTAATCCTATACATGATAACAAGTTCTGTGTTGAGTTGTGCCCTCAAATATAAGTCAGCTATCATGGTGATTTTGCAGCTATAGAGGTGTGTAATGCTTGAGTTGAGAACTATGAGCTATAAATAAAGGATTGTCATCTTATTTGAGTCTTCCCTAAATGAGTAGTGCTAAAATAGCGCAAAATAGTACTACAGTAGTGCAAAATAGCGAAAATTAGAGGACCACATTTGCAGTAGTGCTATAATAGTATCATGTTGGCACTACATGGCACTATAGAAAAAGTGATAGTGAAGAGTAGTTATAACTAGTACCAAGTATACTAATTAGTGCTTAGTTGC